AGCCCAGGATAATGGGGTGGGGTTTACCCCAGCATTGCCCACCAGGCAGCCGCCACTTCTCTTTGAAGGTTTTTAGCTGATTTTATTGTTGATGAAAACTAGTCTTGCCATGAAATCAGAAAGGATTTACTAAGCAGCCATCACCAAATACAGAAAAATGTATTATTGAACAGAAAACACTAATGTTATTAGCACATCAAAGAATTAAAGTTTGCCTTGACAGTCACTATATTTTCATGTAAAACTCATCCCAAAGCCCTTTTCTTTCAGCATATACTCTAGCATGTTGTAAGACTATATTCCCAAAGTTTTGCCAACCTTCTTATTAGAAATGCCAAAATGATTTTCATCACTATGTCATTCCTTTGCAAATGGCCGTTTGCAATTTTCATCTAAAGACAACAGGTAGTCCCACAAGGAAGGTACTTCCATGGGCTACTGTTTCTGTAGTCTTCTCTTGGTGTGTGAACCCACTGTGGTGGCCAACCTAAACACTCTAGCCAGGTTCTCTAACGTCCCTGACCATGTTGCACACTGTCCAAAGATGAGCTCGTACAACCACTGCCCCCTCAGTTCCCCTTCACCAATTCACCCTCCATTCCACTAAAAAATAGCAGCCTATTACAAATAGCTGCAGTAAGTGACCCCAAAGACTCTGTAAGCAACAGCCAGTTAAACCTGCAGCTGTGTGGTTGCCCAGAACTGCCCATATGGTTTATGAACAACTTTGACTTTCAAGAATGTTCTAAACTGTCAGCTAATTTTCTTGAGTTGTTTTGATACAAAGCTAATAATATTACTGATTTTATTTCTTGGGTTTCCCCAAGAATACAACTGTCCTAGTCATTTTCATCACCACTAACAACAAAATAAAACTAAATATATAACTTGTTGAACCTTCTGACATACTTTTAGAACTGTTTGCTACATTACACAATTAACTTTATAATGATTCTGGAATAAATCTTAAAATCTAACTTTTGAACCAAAAGGGTTAAAGGTACTGCAAAATCTCGGCAAACAAATCTAAGACAACTTGCCAGTCTATCTTTCTGCTATCCAAAAAACCCTTTCTTCATTGTTTTTAAGGGAAATAGTAAATAGGTCAGGCTGTATAATTAAGTAACAAGCTTTGTAAAAGCTGGTATGGTTTTTAATATTTTATAAAATGCAATCTTGAATTTACCCTTGAGAACATAGTTATAATAGAATAAATATTTGTGACTTATTCACTTCTTTGTTGATTTAGATAATTAAATATCTCATTTTTTCATAAAATGACATTCAAGTTTAAGATATACATTGAGCATTCTATCAACAGCATATTCAATGCAGAAATACAGTTTGCATGACAATTTCTGTGCAAAGGTAAAGTAGGTGGTTTATTTAAATAATATTCAGTGAAATCACCATATAGGACAAGCATAGAAAGGATACTGAATAAAAAGCTCTGTCTATAAGTACAAAAGGGATGTTCTATTATACTTCAGTTATTCTTTTAATTAAAAAAAAGCAATTGTGTACTGGTTAATTTTTGGTTAACTTGACACAAGTTAAAATCATGGCAGAAGAGGGAACTTCTGTTGAGAAAATGTCCCTACCAGACTGGTCTGTGGGAAAGCATTTTCTTGATTAGTGATTAATGTGGGGTAGGAGGGCCCAGCTCACTGTGGGTGGCACCACTCCAGGGCAGGGAGTCATTATTCATAAAAGAAAAGGCAAGCCATGGAAAACAAGTGAGTAAGCAGCATTCTTCTATGCGTTCTGTTTCAGTTCCTGACTCTAGGTTCCCGTCTTGAGTTCTATAAGAAAGCTGGTTAAGCAAGCAAGAGGTACAAGCCATCAAGCATCTCTCCTATATGGCCTCCACATCAGCTCCTGCCTCCTGTTCCTGTCCTGTTTGAGTTCCTGTCTCGACTTACTTTAATGAAGAACAGTGCTTTGGAACTCAGCAATGTGAAGCAAAATAAACTCTTTACTCATGAAAGTCACTCTTGGTCATCAAAATCAATCCAAAACAATGTGAAAAACCAGATTGATAGTTGAATGGTGTTCCTTAGTGACAATAGCATCAAAGCAATACTGATTTTGAAATATATAATGAAGCCTAATTGAGCAAGAGTCAAAAGTAAGTTGACTAAAGTCTGGTTGATCTTTGTTTATCTGTGCACCTGCATACACAAACACCCTCCTCAATACACACACACACACACACACACACACACACACACACACACACACATACACACACACAGTTAGTTGCACACACATTGCGCACATGCACACACACTATATCTCAGTTTACAAAATCTCTAAACTGTGTAGCAAAGGAGACTAGACAGTCAACAATAATGTTTATATTGAGAAACATGTAGATAATAAAGTAAGTGAAGGGAAGTAGGGAACCTAAAAACCAATCACATGCCCTGGGAGTCAATCTAATGAGGAGGAGCACACATTCACAGAGACTGGGGTACTGTGAGGAACACAGGAGACACAAGTGCAAAGCAGTTTGCAGTAAGTTTTACAATGTTTGTGGGCTAACAATCTGATTGTACCCAACGCAGAATAAATTCACTAAAATGTGATTAGCAAACAATGTTACAGTTATGTTCGACGCTACAGTTATTAGAAGGTTAACGAAGACAGTACACATTCCCCCTTGCTTGGTCTTCTCTTTCTCAGTTCTACGTGTTTCAGGATTGTTTCTCTGTTCTCCAGCAATCATCTTGATCCATATGTCAAAATACTGTTTTAACTATTACTAGTTTCTTCTCTTTTCCTGTTTTATCTTAATTCTTAAAAATTTCCAAGTATTGCATTTCAAAATGATTCACTTATACATTGTCTACCCTTTCATCAGAATATAAATTATAAGAGGAAACAATTTTTAATCTATAAGTTGACCATAATGTGTTTAATAAATATTATTGCAATTAATGCATGTATTTAAGCCTGTATAATGTATGCATACAGCTATATATAATCATTGGAAAAATAGATGAGTTTTACTTACACATTTTAAAAAATCAAATGAAATCAGGTCATGTTACAAGAAGGCAAAATAGTAACAGAGTCTTCAATAACTTCTTGAGAATTTATCTAGATTTTAATCAAATATTTACTGAAAATAAAAGTTTTCAAATCCATGTCTGTGGTTGTGTTTCATTAGTGTGTCTATTACACTGAAGGTTAAGGCCTAGAATTGAGAAAATGTGTTGTATGATGTAATATTATTAAGCACTTTGTTTTTTTAATTTTTAATTTAATTTTGTAATGAAAACTGAAAACATTACAAACAAAGCCAACTATGTTGTGTCACCAAAAATTAATTAGAAACAGAATGTTAAGTAATAAGTGACTTTAGTAAGTTAAACCAAATGAAAATTTAATGGAAGCAAATATGTTTCCTATTGCATTTTCAGAGAATTTTGCTGGTACCTAACATTATCCATTGTAGTGCTTCATGAACAAAAAATGCCCAAATATATAGAGATTAAAAATAGGCATCTATCTATTTTAAAAGGCAGGAAGAAATAATATGGAAGTCCCTAATACACAAAGGCTAATTAGGCCATTTCCATCCTGGAAGAGTTAAGACTTCAATGAGATACACAAATAAATGAGTCAGCTGAGTTGTGAGCATAAAAGAGATGTCAAGATACTGCAGAGTTCAGGAAACATTCCAAGGGATATATGACGCTTAATCTAATTCTTAATTTTGAAAAGTACACAGTTTATCTTATAAGAATTTGACACAGTTGGGGAAAATAGCAAATTCACATATTATGTTCTATATTAGATAATTAAATATTTAATATTAAAGAATATTTGAAAATGAATTCAAATGTATCAACTTCATCTTGTTTTTGAAGAAAATGAAAATTGGATGTGACAAGGGGCAAGTGATTATTTTATAGCAACCTGCTCTCAAATGTTTACCTGGTTTCTTCTAAATGCAGTCAGAGTGACAAGAATGGGAAGGGCTGGCAATAATTTATTCATTTCTGAAATTTTACACAATCATGAGTGTCCAAAATTAAAGATAAGTAAAATCGTTAATATTGTAATTTAGAGACATGACTAGTGCACCATTGTAAAAAGTGCCCATTTAGGTGACTTACTCAATATCTAACTACTTACTACAAAAATTATAAAATAATTTATGAGTGATAAATTATTGACCAGTTTAGTCATTTTTTTTCATTTTAAAATCATTCATTTAAGATCTTTCCTTAATAGTTTAAAGATAAAACCTATACACGATTTTTCAACCATTCTCATGGTTATTTTCCCTAATAGTATAATATATTAAATGATAAAAACATAGTCTGGTCAAACAATGCAACTGTACATATCCCACTACTTATAAAATAATTTTTCAGGATTCCTTATGAATACATATCTGTAAATACTGAATTCAAAGGCTGGAAAGATGATAGCACTTTATGAATTGGGAAGTTAAGTTGCTCAGATGTGAAATAAAAAACTACAAACTCCAAACTTGATGTTTCTTAGCTTATTCCTTGTCTTCGACTCAGGTATTGTGTGGTAATATCACTGAAATCTTTTAAGACATAGGCAGGATTTTATTACGTTTTCAGATAAATGTATTAGTTAAGTGGATCAAAGTGAACTAGAGGAGAGAATAAAATGAGAGAACGGATGGGACTAGGGGATAGAACAAAAAGTGTCCAACTAGGGAATTAGAAACCCTGAGTACTGATCTATAGAAACGTCCCACAGAGGCTTTAAAAAGTGCAGCAACATGACAACAGCCTACAAAGAGAACTACAAAAGGCAATACAGGAAGTATGTCCTGAGGAGGAGGCAGAGACAATGACTGAAGAGGAGAGAGACATCAGCATGGGTAGCCATGTGGTCCCGGAAAGCAAAAGGCACAGGGAATGGAGAAAGTCATCTCTGTGTACTGTAAACAGCTCCCCCAGTATTTCAGGAGCCTCCCCAGTGTGTTAAGAAGCAACCTCAAAGCTCTGTACCTTTGCTTTATCTCGCATGGATCCTTTGCCCAGGATAGACATCTTAGCACCTGCTTCTTCCTGTAGCCTCTTCAAGGAGTTTCCTCTCGGTCCAAGCAATTTCCCCACAAAATTGAACTGGAAAACAAAACCAACAGAATGTCTGAATTAAGGGAGAGGAAAAGTGTAATTTCTATCAAGTATAACTAATGATTATGGGCTTTTAAACTTTACCATTAAGAAGTAATGAGGCGTAACTCATACATAAGTATATACTTACGTATATGTACACAAAAAACAATTGAAACTACTTCAGATCTGTAATTCAGGAGTGCTTTTAAAAAATAACTGCTTTCTAAAAGAGAGCCAACATCAATAGTAAGGTGAAAATACTATTTATTCAAATAACAAAATATGTCACTTACATAGAAAAAGAGTGAGAGGATTATACAGGCCTAAAAATGTCTAGATGCTCTTTCTCTTCAGATTATTAAAATTAAAAAAATAAAAAAAAACTCCAACAAATCCAAGGACCTTCAAAACTGAAAAGATATTTCAACTAACTCCAGCATCATAGTTTCAACAAGCATTCCTTAATTGAGTCTTGCTGCATGTTTTAACTATCAATTCAATGTTGCTCTCCTATATATTTGCTACTTCTTAGCATCATCTGTTACATGTGCTTATTACATTATCCTGTATATGTAGTTTCAATTCAGTTTTCCTTCATTAAGAGGGTGTTGCACAGCACTATCTTTAGCCCAACAACTGCCATCTTCATATGCTTAGTTGTTCCTGCTTACACCAGTTTTGTTAACTGCCAATGCTCCTTCAGAAAAGGTGTATGGAGGGTAAATGGGCAATTGCCTGAGGATCCAGCCTTCCTCCTACCCAGTGGTATTCAAGTCTGCCCTAATCACATGTGGCCTCATGATGTTGGGGAGAAGCTAAAGTACATTGTATGGAGAAGACTAGAGAGTGGTAGGGGGTCCACTTAGAGAGCTATAGGAAAGCTGTTATCCTGGGTGGAGACTTTCAAGCATTACTGCTTTGGGGTACCCACACTCCTGTCGGTAACCCCTTATGCATGGTCAGTGTGTAAGTCCAATAAACTCATCGGTCTCCTAGGGTGAACTCAGGTGAAAGGGCAATTCTTGCAACTGTTTTAAAATCAATAAATGTACACCATATGATGTGCTCTCACTAACAAAAATTGATCTCTATGCTTGTAGCTGATCATAGCCAAAGCTTCTCTATTAGCTGAAGCTTTTGGAGCCAATACTGAGAAATGGTTCAGAGGACTTCCTTTCACAGTGAAGGAGCATTTGAAATTTAAAATGTCAGAAATAATTATGTAATTAGCTACATATGTATTGATGTGCTTCACTTTTGGAAATTTATTTAAAGATATATTCTGAAAATAGTCTATATGAAAGTTCTTTCAATATGACTCTTTCTCGGCTTTCTTATTTACCCAGTTTTTTGTTTTGTTTTGTTTTGTTTTGTTTTGTTTTGTTTTGTTTTGTTTGTTTTTCGAGACAGGGCTTCTCTGTGTAGCGTTGTGCCTTTCCTGGAACTCATTCTGTAGCCCAGGCTGGCCTCGAAATCACAGAGATCCGCCTGGCTCTGCCTCCCGAGTGCTGGGATTAAAGGCGTGCGCCACCACCGCCCAGCTTTATCCAGTTTTTTAAAACAGCAATTGACATTTATCCTATCATGGAAGGCAAACTGCTTCGTGGATGTACTTTTTTTTTTTCATCTTTTCCTTAAGGAAATAATTTACACATAAAAATTAAACCAATCCAACTCAACAGCGTCTTTCATATTAAAACATCGTTTAATATTCTTAGCGATTGAGGTTTTTTAATACGTAAAATAGTGAACAGAACTGTAGTTTCAACATATTAAATATCTTCAAATGTATGTCAACTATTTTGAAGTCACTGAACAATTTCTTTATTTCAGTATCTTGTGATCAATATTATCACATTTTAAATTTTAGAAAAATTATCAAATTATTACATGGAAAATATCTCCAATTCCCACATTTTACTTGATTTGGAAAGCAATAAAACATTATCAATGACAAAAATAACTGCTTATCATGAATCCAGTGCCACATTAAGAAAAAAATATTTTTGAGACTTTTTAACAAAGTAAGCCAAAGCATAATTCACAGTTACGTGAAAATACTGATTGACATTTATACTTGTACATTAGCCAGTTTATCCTCTGAGCTTAAAGTATCCAAGAACACCCTATTTGAGACTTCTAATTTTCTATTTTTTTTTCTCATGGCTAATGAATAAATATAAGCTGTTCATCAATAGTCATGTGAAATAACCCTTTTTTAAAAATGTCACATTTACACATGAATTCCGGTAGTGATCTATCCCTTCTCATTCACTGAAAGCACAGGGTCTGCCTCTGGCCGCCTGAGAGGACAGTGTTCTTCAGCAGCACCAGCTGGGAAGCATCCCTAGATTGCAGTCTCTGCTGGACTTCTGCCTTTCTCCTTTGATGTGACATAGCTATGCAGCAGCCATGATTCCTGGTCCTTCCAAACTCCAGTCCTCATACTTGGTAAAGCTTGAACACTTTTAATGTTTAACCTAGTCCTGGTTTGAAGGTGGATCCCTTACTAGTGAGTAGAAATTCATAGACCTACTCTTCAGTGCTTTGGGAACACAGCACCAAGACAGGCTTTAGCACTCTAACTTTCATTTGTTAGCATTAAAACAAAGCAGTAGAAATAGGGGCCTATATAGCTGGAGTTTTCCTGTGTCTACCTGGCTCCTGCAGCCACTCAGATCCAAATAAACACACAGAGACTTATATTACTTATAAACTGTATGGCTGTGGCAGGCTTCTTGCTATCTAGTTGTTATATCTTAAATTGACCCATTTCTATTAATCTGTAAGTTGCCATGTGGCTTGCGGCTTACTGGTACTTTTATATCTTGCTTCCTCTGTGTCTGACTGGCAACTTCTGACTCAGCCTTCCTGTTCCCAGAATTCTCCTCTCTCTTTGTCCTGCCTATACTTTTTGCCTGGCTATTGGCCAATCAGCACTTTATTTATTAACCAATCATAGCAACACATTCTCAGCATACAGAGCGATATCCACAGCAGGCCTATGAACAGAGAAGTTGCAAAAATACTATTTCTGTGTCAATAGAGCTGAAATGACAATTCTAAAATATTGATCTCATCATCTCCAGAGAGTATGGATGAGGAAGAGAAGAAATTAATTTGAATACAGTAGAAGAGTTTAATTGCACAGCATTTAGATGAAGTATTTGTTACATTTCTTTTAGAAACAGACGTTGTGTGGAGCACTGTGGCACAGGTATATGGTCCAGCCTCTGGGAAGCTGAAGCTGTAGGATCTCAAGGTAGAGATCAGCCTGGGCTCATGAGGGACACCCAATATCAAAATGAGTCTTAATGACAATAGCAAAAAGAAAAGGTAGTAAATGAAAGAGAATGATTTAGGATTAGCTATTAAATTGCAGAAAACGATATTGCCATAAACTAAGTTTTACTCAGTATATGTATTTCTATAAAATCAAAGGTGGAACATGAAACAGTTGCTTATCCCCCTCAATTTGGGAAATGTAGAATAAAAATGGAACTTGCATTTCTAAACATTTCCAGAAACTTACAACTTCACTGAGGGACTGGGGCCTTACACATAAAGTGCTACATAATTAGACCAAATGTGGTCATTGCTATGAAATGAGTACAAATCAAGGCCTGGGAGGAGCCAAAGAAAGAACTGTTTTGACTAAGGGGAAACTATGAGATCCACACTTCCTTCCTTTCATTTTCTTATTGAGCAAGGAAAAGGGAGTGATACTAAAAAAAAATTAATGGAAAAAGTTTGAGTAATATGCTGTAGAATTTGAGGTCTTGAGTTTAGTGTACATTGCTGATCTATAACAAGCATGCAAACAATAGAATGCCCAATGTGGGATGGAGGGCACAGGAAGAGATACGCAAAGGTGTTGGCAATAAGGCATAGACAACTACAAGTTTGGGGTGATCTGGTAAGTAGAGGCCTTCATACATTATGTTTGAACAATATAAACATAATAAAATATATTCAGAGTAGACATGAAAGAGTAATTAACTATTAGCAAAATACTTGAATATAGAACTAAGTAGTTGAGGACATTTTTAAAGATGGTTGCACTGAAAACAGAAATCTAGGAGTCCTAGTACCCATGCACATTGAGAAATGTAAGATGTTTAGTAATATATGCCAGTTCCTAGGTAGAAGGACAATTTAACTTACTTAACACAAACAGAAAGGAGTAAAGAAGTGACTCTTGGAGAGAGCTTAGAGAAACGCTAATATTTAGAAAGAAAAAATAAGGAGGAAAGGCAAGAGAGTGTTGTTTTTGTTGTTCCTTTGTTTTTCTCCTGGAAGAATAACATTGTGAAAACAAAAGGAACATCTTTGACACATTGATTACATTACAACTATTGATCAGGTGTAAGGCTTGTGAGATCCTGGAATATGTGACTGGAACCACCAGGAGGCCCTGGGGACAGAAATATTCCTGCTGAGCTGTGACTTCTTCAAAGTCACACCAGGGGTGGGAGAGGAAGGTGTCAGAAGATGCTCTGGGGCTAAGTGCTGCTTCAGGAGCAACTCTGTGTTGTTTCTCCTGTGTTGCAACATCAAGACATCAAAGCCTTCTCCTGGGTAGAATTTGCTTACACATTTTCAGTGATGTATATTGAGTTCAGAAGACAAAGGCAGAAGCTGCAGAGAAAAGAGGTGGAACAGAGGGAGAGCAGGACTAGCTCTGGGGGGTGGGGTGTCTCTGATTGCTTAACAGCTGAATAAGTGTGACTGTCTGAGAGCTGAAAAACACCAGATCCCTGTCCCTGTGCACCCAAGCAGACCTGCTTGCCCTTGATACTTGATTTACTCTCTGGGTCTGGCTTCTAAGAGCAGTGAGGACAACCATTCCCTGACAGCCAAATGTCCTACAGTAGATAGCTTGCATGCTGCTGATCTTGTCTGCCTGCTGGGATCTGTCTGCAGCAAAGGACTGAGCTCCAATGATGCTGGCCACCTCTAGTACTTTAGATGCTGACAGGCACAGCAGGTGCTGTAGCTGATGCCCT